GCTCTGCACTCTCTTGAGGGGCCTGTGCAGCTGTGGTTTATGTTTCCATGTAGTCTTGCCAGAGGTCCCTCCCCTTAAACAGGTCCAGCTTCCATAATTAGTGTGTATTCCAAATGAGCTAGGTATGGAACCCATTAGGTCCCAGAGGCCTCGTGGAGCTATTTACACTGCTTTGGACTCTTTCCAGGATCGCAGACTACGTGGGATGTGTAAATTAAGGAAGTCTCACAGAGCAATGGCTGTGACTGGAACGTACACCATGGCTTTAGCTCATGCCCATTTTCTATTGCTTTTCTTGGCTTCTTTTTTACAATTTTATTGTTCTGAAAGACAAACGTTCTGTATTTTTAAAACCACACTTTAGAAAGAATTTCTTTCTTTCCCTTTCCTCCATGTGCCTAGTTCTATTCCTCAAGCATGAAGAAAAGGGAAGACTAATCATTCCTTTCTTGGCATTAAGGCCACTTGGGACTTTTATTTGCATTCACCTGGCCAAGTCGTAAATGTCATTCATCACCTATAAAAATGGTTTCTTTAGTTAGAATAATAAATTGATTTCAGTTAATAAAATAAAAAGCCAGGTGAGTTCATCTTGTGTATAGTGGGGAACATGTATTAGACAGGTGGAGGGAGAGGAGCAAGTTACAGGAAGGCCATTCCTCTAATCTTGAAGCCTAAAAATCCCAAGTCAGAAATATTTATTTGTTAATCTGTGGCTTCAACTATATACTCACAGAATATGATATTGACTTTGCTGGTTTTTCTCTCCCACATTCCTCTGTGCCCATGAGCTATTTTCTCTCAGAGTGTCTCCATATCTTCATAGCCCCAAGTTTTGGCCTCATTTACCAGTTTGTTACTGCTCCTTAGTAACACTGAGCCTAACACACTGGCCCTGAGTGTACAGTAACTTAATTCTTTGGGAATCTGGACAAGGAAATCCTTGATGTCAAGAAGAGCAATGTCAGTCAAGGCTCAGGAAGTTAGTTATCAGATGAAGACTTGAGATGATTTTGATGGTGACAATTCTAGAGCTGTGGATGCTTAACTTGAATGTATTCAGCACTCATTTGAAACTGTTAAGGATGCAATATCATTTGGTTTTCATACCAAACATCATGATATCCCTACTAGACTAACATGATTTCTTAAAAGAAAGGACATCTCCAACCACACAACTGTCTATCGCATACTTTTTTTTTCTCTAATTAAAATGTGTGTTTGTTTAATGCCTCAAATGCCTCTTTTACTCTTTCAAGAATGGTCTTCCAGGGCTGGAGAGATGGCTAAATGACTTAGAAAATTTGTTGCCGAATCTGATGACCGGAGTCCAATGCCTGGAACCCACCTGGAGGATGGAGAGAACTGACTCCTACAAGTAATTCTTTGACTTTCACATGAATGCTGTGACATTTGGCAGCCCCCACCCCAAAATGGTTTGAACAAAAAAGGAATAGACCTTCAATTTTCATCTATTAAATGATAGAATTTTAGCAGTTACTACTAAGTTTTTGTCCTGCTTTAAGTCACTCGAAAATATAAGGTCAAACACATCTCAAGTAAATTGACACTTTAAGTTTTCTTATGGAATTAAATCTTACAAGAGGCAAAGGAATGCTCTCCACCTGAAAATCAAGAGCCGTGAAATTAAAAGGCTGCAATTTGGGGCAGCCTGATTTTGTTTTACAGATTTCAAAATCTGAAGCTAGTCTTGGCCTGTTTAAAGCAGTTAACTAGGACTTTTAATAATTTACTAGTAAATTCCAAAAAAAAAAACTGGAAACAATATCAAAACCATCTATATAATATTCATTATATATGCATATATATGTATATATAAAGTGGAAGTGTCAAGAATATTCCCCAATAGACCATTGCTACTCATAATAAACCAAGGAGAAAATCAATCCTACTTGCCCCAGTCAACATGTCCAGTATATGGGAGATCTGGAACTTACCTTAGATATGCTTAATTGTCAATCTTTCAGCTACTGTACTGTATCTGCATTCTCTTCCTAGCTTATTTAGATCTGCACATTGAATATGACTTGCATCAATGGCATTTCTCACCAAAACATTTGCTTAGTTCGTTAACTAGCATCTTCCGCATTGCTGCCTGTGTGGCAACACCTAATAAATACCCCATGATGTGTGTCCTTCACTTACATTAGATACTCTCGGTCACGTACAGTCACATGTCTTTGGTGACTCTGATATTCTTTCTTTCTATATATTTCAAATCACATGGAGTAACAAGCCTCAAATGAAAGTAGACAAGCCACACCAGAGAAGGCATTTACAAACTCCAACCTGAGAAAAGTTTCCACAAAGAGAGCAATATACTGTGTGGGTAATGGGCATAACAGAACCTGCCTTGCTGCATGTGTGCCTACAGTTTGTTCTGTAACTATTAGAAGGGATTATTGACACTTTCAGAAAATACAATCTCAGGGAAACCAATAGCAAATTAACTTTGGTATGAAAAGAAATTGAAATTAGTTGTTGCTCTGTTCACTGGGATAGCCTAATTTTCATTAAACTCAGAGTTGTTTCACACACTATTCTTAATCTACATAAGAATCACAAATTCATGTATATTTCTATTCAATTTTTGTCTCCTAAAAGAAATGTCCTCTAAATCAAACAGCATAGAGATAATAAACTGCTTTGTAAAATTCCTTTCCAATCTTAAAACTATTTTGGGTGTAGGGAGGGTATTTTGGAGCTATAATCTTTTATCAAATGAGTACAAGTTTATTTTAACCATGGGTACATTTTATAAAATAATACTAATGAGGCAGCCCTTTTCTTTCTTAACCAAATTCATCCCAATTAAATTCAACTGCACTATTCATTTAGAAATTTGATAATGCTTTTTTTGTGTGAGTTCTAGGAATATTTGAAAGCCCATCGCATATAAATTATATCATGGAAAAGCTGTATAAATATTCTATTATGGCACATGCTGTTCTGAGGATCTGTCAGGATTTCCTTTATACACTCCATCTTGAGTGGTATATAAATCAGATGTAAAAATTCATGTTGGACTGAAACTCAGCACAGAAAGCCTCCTCCAGAGGCGAATGCTTTCTTCAAAATGTGGTTTGAATTATGCTGGTCATTTTTAAGTTATAGAAGTACAGAAAATGTATTTGTGGTTTTGAAGGAAAGAGGTTTTTCCATTTTCATAACTCATTAGGAAACTTTACAGGCCTTTAGACCATTTTGTGGTTTAGTTTTTCTCAGTCTTTTTTCTCCAAAGCCATATTAAAAGCTGAGTGGTGTCTGCTATGAGCTGATGATTACCATTCTAAATAGAAAGGTGTGTGTGGATATATACATGTCTATCTCCGAAAGATACCATGGCTAGAGTGCATGGTTGGGCCTAGGTCTGTCAGCTGCCCTTTGTTTACTCTTGGTATCACATGAAATATGGTCTATCACATGAAGACCTGAACTCAGTTCAGAATGTACTGCTTGACATTGTGAAGTTGCATTTTTAACTCACAGAGAAAAAAAAAAAAACTGAGTTAAGTACTGCTTCCTTTTGCCAAATGTTCTTACCTTCCTTAAATTCTGTTTGCTCTAACAGGCTCAGCCAATGATTGGCTGCATGTTTAAAAGTATTCAATAAATAAAAATGCATACGTTTTTGTGCAGAGGTAGTACTAATTCACTAAAATACATTTTATGTATAGATAATGTGGCTGAGTATTATTACAAACAGCCAGGTTTTTATTTTAGCATATGTAGAAGTTATGATTATATTATCTCTTTCAATAATATAAATTAAAAACTAAGAAAGTCTTATTTGGAGTGAGAAAGTCGGCAAAGTTCACACAGCAGAGTAAGATTCTTTCAAGTTACTTGATCCTAAAATTAAAGCTCCATTCTCTCATATATTTGAATTGCTTTAACCTATATTGCTTAATTCACTAATCCAATAGATCAACAATTTTAGTAACTACTACTTAATGCTTTATTCATTAAAACACAAAATTGTTAACATCTTCTTGAAGTAACTTTTTAAAAGTTTCTGTTAGTACTTGGAGTCTGAGTTCCCTCTTCATCATGTTAAACTATTCCTGGTGAAGTCACTGAATTATTTGTTTGGGGAATAGTTATGATGAATCACCTGGAGAATAATCAAACATTTGCCTGTTTCTAGCAGAGCAGCGGGGATTTTTCCTTTGGGATACAGTGAGGAACAGACAGTGGTCTCCCTGCTCCTGAATGTTTTATCTGCTAACCTAGTGTCATGGAAATTAGCCAGCGCTATACTACAGAGTGAGTTGAAGGCTACTTCTATTTTTCAACATTAACAGAGAAGCAGGGTTACTAATGAGGGGTCATATCCCTAAACTCAAATCTGTAGAGCTGAATATCCTTATTTCTATCTGGGTCATTTTTTTATTCTGCTCCACTTACTTTACTAAATTGCTCTAATTTGTGTTCCATAATGTTACACTTGGTATAATTTTAAAATGTTATATGCAATTTATACATCACTGCAATCATCCTTTTGTTAGTTTATTATTAAAATCATTTCTCTTATGATTTAACCAATTATACATTGTCCAAAACATCTTTATATAACCCATTCAATCATTAAAATCATCATTTTAGCTTTGGAAGGAAAAATCTACACATTTTATTTTTTGAGCACCAGGTACGTACTGAAATACAATTTTATGTTAGTCAAATATGTTTCAAAGTGAAGGATAGGCATTTAAGAATCGTTGGAAATAAATATACTTTAAATAAAATAATTTCATAAACAAATCCTCTACCGTTCAAGATTTGAGATCAAGCAAATAGTTTACACATCAACCAACCCACTTATTTTCCTTAATCTAGAATACTACAATGCTAGTATTTAAACAGCATTGATTTGTTAATCTAACATTAATTTTTATGAGCAAGAGATTTTTGTTTGTTACTTTTATGTAACAAAATCATGACATTTTAGAAACTTTCAAGAATGTAAAACATCTCCTCACCTTGATTTTACCTTTAAGCAGCCTTTTATTTGTCTACTCGAAGCTTCTTCCAATGGTTTTATGGGCTCCGGCTCTTTCCTTTTCTTTTGACAAACCAGTACATAATTGGTGCCATTATTATTTGACCAAAAGGTACCGACAGAAGTTTCATAGCGTATGCAAAACTCAACTTTACTGCCATCTTTTTGATACGGAGGAACCAATGAAATCTTAAAAGAAAACTGGTCAGTTTCACCATCACATGAATTAGGAACATATTCCGCTAAAATGTCATAATGCGACTGCCAGTCATCCAAGGACATGCGCACATATACTAACTTCTGAAAAGAAATGTTCAGAACTCGAATAATGCCCTTCACACTTGTCGACCCGGGAAGGTGTTCAATTGACTCCAGCACTGCTTTCTGGACTTGAAGCTGTTCCATAAGCTCTTCTTTAGATGAGGGCAGTTCAAACAGTGGAGACAAAACATATTCTTCTGTGTGGAAGATGTTCCTACTTAAGTCAAAATCGGTTGAACTTGGTAAATCCCAGCAATCAAATTCTTTAACGGACACAAGACTGAGTCCAAGACTGTCTGCAAAGGAAACCCTCCTGGACGCTGAAGTTGGGGTGTCCAGGTATGTGTCTTCAGAAGATCCCGACCCTCGTCTGCTTGGCTGAGGGGAGTAGCTAGGCTTGAAGGTCGCTTTAACTTCTTCATCTTCACACACAGAATCTGACAGATTAGGAACTTCTAAAAACTTATCTTTGCGAATCTGACAAGGTTCTTCAGTGGGCTCCATTGGGCTGTCTGATATCAATAAGAGAAAACTGTACAGCTAGTTGAAGCTGATATTTGAGATACTGAGGCTTAAAATAAGTGTAAGATTACAGTTGACATTGCAAAAGAAGTCAGCTCTATAAATAGGTCCAATGGCTTGTAAACTATGCTAGCCTGCCTCCAAGGCCTTTTATATGATAGCGTCCATGCTGCTCTGGCTGGTGTCCTACAGATTTAACTCTTGATGTTACAAGTCGTATTTGTTTAATGAGCACAGTTCCAGAAACATAAAAATAATTTTTAACTAAAAGTATTAAAAATAAAGGCAAAAATGCTTCTTTAATTAGTTGCCATGAAATTTTAAATGTATAAGAGAAATAAAAGCAGTGAAATAATGAATGTGTACTGTGAAGTCAAGCCACTCTTGAAGCAGAAAATGTTAGACAGGGAATATATAGATATTTGTAACTTGGAGAGATCTATAACTTGCTAAAACTGATAACTAGAATATTCTGAGACTTACAGTGTCAAATATTGACTTTCAAGGGGTCAAAGACAGGTGCAAAAGAAATAAGTAAGTAAATAAGCTAGAAAAAATTTAAAATACTCATATGCCTTATCACAAAAAAATCTACCACCAAGAAATCTTATTAATATGATGGAAACATGTGCACAAGTCAATGTCACTGTGTGCTTATAACCTAAAAGTTTATTTTTAAAATCTCCAAATACTATTGAAAGGTTGTCATGCAGAAAAAAAATAATGCTACAAAGATAGAATCCTTACAGTCAATACAAAAATTAAACAGCTAAGTATAAAAAGAAAAATGGAAATAAATGTACACAGGTGTCTGTATAATTAATTCCTGGAAAGTTTCGAAAGAAATTTTAGTGATTTTAGCAATAGTGATGGAGACTGAAGTCATTTTTGAAATGTTGAACATGACATTTTAAAAATATCTGTAATTTCAACTCAACTGAAATATAAAATATAAAGTAAAAGAGGAAACTCATATTTTCAAAGTCAAAAGGTGCAAATGGCATCCTGTTTTTCAAATGACAACGTCATAAATATTGCAATTTGCTGTACAACTTTAATTGCACCAATTCTGTAACTGAAAATTTACTCTCCAAAGTTGGAAATGGATGGCACCTAGGAAAATAATAACATGAAACTATTTGAGCTATTCTTCTTCTACATAGCTAGGGTGATTATGGGCCATATGAATCTTTTCAGACTGGCAAACAGATGTTACTGCAAATCAGGGGATTAGGAATAGCTATTTTTCAAGGTACATAAAGTACATCATTAGGTAGTGAAAGGAATTGGCAACAAGATTTTATAAATGGAAAGCACCAAACAAGCATGAAAATAATTGAGTATAGGAAGTATCCATGTAATTTTATTCTAATGTAATTTATCCATTGACTTATAGAGGTCAAGACCTTGGGTTCATATTGTGCTTCTAGCTCTTAATAAAATTTTCCAAATTTTTCTGTTTAACTTTTTTTTTGAAACAATAATGTCTAAATCTTTATTTTTACTAGTCAATCACAAAGAAACTAGTCAATGTTTGGTGAAACATACATGTAATACTATTATTTAGGAGTCAAAAGCCAAAGATGAAAATTCAAGACCATCCTTTGCTACATACTTATTTAGAGGCCAGCCTTAGATATATGAGAAAGAAAAAAGGCAAACATACACACAAACACACACACACACACACACACACACACACACACACACACACACCCAGAGACCTGAATACATGGTTCAGTGTGTAGCTTGTTTGTTGTTCAACCATGAGGACATTAGTTAGAATCCACAGTTGGCACTTAAAATATCAGGCATGGTAGCATGTGTTTGCCAAACCAATATGGGTGTCCATCAACAAGAGAATTAGAGGCTCACTGGCCAGCCAGTCTGGCCAATGGATGATGTTCAGGTTAGTGAGAGTTAGTGTGTCAAGGTATAATGTGAAGTAGTTAGTTAGTTAGTTAGTTAGTTAGTTAGTTGGTTTTTCGAGACAGGGTTTTTCTGTGGCTTTGGAGTCTGTCCTGGAACTAGCTCTTGTAGATCCACCTGCCTCTGCTTCACAAGTGCTGGGATTAAAGTCATGTGCCACCACCACCCGGCTTAAGGTGAAGTATTTAAAGAGTATGTGCAAATATTGGCCTTGGTTTTCCTCTCATTCATGTACGAAAACAGAAAGGCAGAGACAAGGAACACATGTACACACACACACACACTCACACAAAGACAAACCCCCCCCCCCCCACACACGCACGAGAGAGAGAGGGGGGGGGATGGGATAGTGAGACATTGCAAAAACAGAGAAATTGAGAGACCCAATGAATACTGAGAGAAGAAAAACAAAAACAACATAAAATAGAATTGATTTGATTTTCATTTGATAAAACCACATCAAGGTTATACATATACCAATTCAGTTAAAAAAAATCATTGTGATTTCCAGAAGTGAGTATAGAGTTTACAATAGAAACTTTGAACCATCAAGTCTTTTTAACTTTTACAGTATAGTGTGAACAACAAAATATGATGAACATAAGCAATCCTAATAGAAACAATCACATCTGTTCTTTGTGAAAGGCTGGCTTACATATCAATCGATGATAGTGCAGATATCCCATACAGGTCATGTTAGGAAAATATCTGTAATTTGATTACTGATATGTTTTTCCTTGACTAGAGTCTGAAAAATTAACTTTACAAAATTATAAAAGGGATGGGCAGTGGAAAATGGTCTTGTTTACTTTCCTTTGCCTGTTCCTCTTCAATGCAGAGTTGATGTGGGATTCCCCTTTGTACACTGTGAATATGTTCTATTACCATTGGTTAATAAAGAAGCTTTTTTGGCCAATGATTTAGCAGAGCAAAATCAGGTGGGAAATCTGAACAGAGATACATGAGAGCATGGCCGGAGTCAAAGAGATCCCATGTAGCTTCCACAGGAGAAAGACACCAGCCACCAGCCAGAACCTTACATATAGGTCACAGCCTCATGGTGATACACAGATTAATGGAAATGGCTTGATTTAAGATGTAAGAGTTATCTAGATATATGCCTGTTATTGTCCAAATGGTGTTGTAATTAATATAGTTTCTGTATGATTATTCGGGTCTGGGTGTTAAGGAATGAGCAAGCAGCCTCTGCCTACACAGAATACTCTCTTGACTTACTGTTACCTCAATCTTTGTTTAGAGTGGATAAGCTTTACATAATTGGAATCAGATGGCCTGTCCCTTTAGTCACCATGTTGCTAATACACAGTGACCTCATCTTCCTAATCTCTTCTTACTTGCCAACTCTCCATTGCTTTCTTTCTTTTTTAATAACTGTGTCACTCCTCTCTGCACTCTTCCCAGCTCCCTCTGCTCTTCTATTAGTGGTTGGATGCACTATCACAGGCCAAGTGCTCATGAAGCTTAGAAAACAAACAAAGACGCAAACAAAATAACCCACTACCATCCTCCTTCTCGTGATTTGAGGTTTGTGTATAGTTAAAAATCAGAATCCTGGGTCATTTCTATACAATAGCACAATATCCATTTTCTCACTCCACAGCCCTTAATTCCAACAACTCTCCTGCCCCTCCCCAGGTGCTCAAGAGCACAGTTTAGCATAAGAGGAGCTCTTTGTGAAAACTCGGCTTCATACATTTACCTGCCTCGCTGTCTGAATTGATAAAACATTCTCAAGTACCTTTCTTTCACATAAATAAAACAGTTTTCTTAGGAGTCAAATAAACAGGGTGTCAAATAAAATAATCCCACGAGTCTATTTATAAACTGCAAATAAGAATAAGTCACACGACTAGTGTAACAACTTGGACCAGTCATAATAACTATTCGTATTTCTACAGGCATAGGAAGGGACATGAGACTATGAGCTTAAAATCATAAAGTGCCATGAAGGATTTCCTGAAGAGACCTGCTCAAGCAACAAAGCTGGCTAATAACCTTGTTAGCAGCAGTACAGCATCATAAATACACTGGATTCGTTATGCCCTTTGCTAAGGCCTCATCCTGTTACCAGTGGTTGAGAGAGCATGGAGGTTAATGCTTCATTAAGATCTGTCTCTGGGGGCACCAAACACGGTAGAAAAGGTTGAAAGCTCTGTAAAATTGAGGCAGATACAAGGGATGAAGCATATACATAAGTGCCATATGTGTATATGTGTGTATTAAAAATATTATACATGTAAAGCTAAAATATGTTCTCTTCTTTATAAATATTCTGTATTAGTCAGTGAAATTGTTCCTTAATCTTTTACTGTCAGGATAAAAAAAATAAGAAGTGGGTTAAGAGTTCATGGTCTATAAATTCTGAAACATTAGGAGTCACAAATATTTGGTCTTAAATGGATATTTATGCAAATTGATGGGGAAAGTGATGATTTATAGTTTACTTGTCTCTTTTATAGATGTGAGGCTATGACCACAACCCAAAAGTCAAGAAACACTGAGTCACAAGAAAATCTATATCACTGGCTCCTAACTAGATACCCATATTAAAATTGCTAAGAATAATACTCAAATTATAAAGGGGATGCAAAATCAGATCTCCAGACTAAGATCTCCCCAGATGAAGACCTTCTCCGTGGGGCCTGGAGCACAGACTCGGTTCAGTTTTATGATCACATGATCTGTTGACTTTGGAGTTGGAGACTTGCTCTACTCAGTGAGCTAATTGCAACCATCATTGCTCCTGTGATGTATGCTCTTTTTGTACAGATGCTATAAAACATTGCCAGAAAGGCACGAAAGTACACCAAAAGTATATACTAGCAATTTAGGTGCACTTTGTAAGAATTTGGGCTTGTCTTTCACACAGGAAACAAATTTAGGACAGTACCTCATTGTTTAGTGACTGAGCTTAGAGTTGACCAAAATGCTTGTTTTCAGTCTGTGCTCTTTATATTCTAACACACATACACTATCTCATTTTAGAATTCATAATTAACAAATTAACCGGTCTTTGAGGATTGTCATTAAAC